ATGAAGTTAATCAGTTGGATAATGAAGTAAATCGGTTGAAAAACGAAGGCGATAAATTAATTGAATGGATTTTTACTATTATTCACAATTTAACTGTTTGATAATGATAATGTAAAATCTTAATCACAATTTCGTTATGCAACGTCATAAACAAGATTTTTTACTTATATTACTACACTCAAAATATTTTTTTCTTGCAAAATATTTTTTTATTTAACATTTTTAAAACTTTTAACTGCTTAATACATTGCTCTTGCTATAATAAAGATATAATTATTGTATCAGATATTTATTTATAAATCACTTTAATAATTAAAATTTAACTTTATTGCTCTGTTAAAACTTTTATTTATTTACAATAACACGAATTTGCTATACCGAATGAGTTTCAACGTTTTGTTTAGATGTACTTCAAATTCATGGAAATTATATTAACAAATAACATTATACGTTTATTTATGGGTAATAGTAAGTACTGTATATATATATAGGTAATTAAGCTGTTCATATTATAAATCCCTTATATAACTTGCATTTACAGTAAATTATGATCAATAGCAAAATCATTAATTTGTATTATACTATTAAAATTATACGGATTCGTTTTATTTCACAGAAAACCACTTGATAGTAGTGTTACAAATTGCCAAAAAATTTTCAATCGATTAGTTGACTAATTCAAAATTTTTCAATCGATTAGTTGTCAACTAAACGATTTATCGATTTTGATCGATTATTTTATTATAAGTTGACAAAATTTTTCAATCGATAAATTATTTTTTTTAAAAATTTCCAATCGATTAGTTGGTTTAGTTGACAACTAATCGATTTTTCGATTTTCGATTTGTATCACTACTTGATAGTTTAATTTACTGAAAATCAATTCACAGAAAATTTCATTTCATAGACAAATTACTTTATAGAAAAATTATTTCACAGAAAAATTCATTTTATTGACAGTTCATTTCATAGACAATTTTTTTACTATCAACCCTAAGCCCTAACTCTAAACCTAATATTATTAAAAAAATTATCTATTAAATGAACTGTCTATGAAATAAATCTGTCTGTGAAATAAATTAATTTGTCTATAAAATGTAATTTTCGTGAATTGACTGGGGTTCAAATCAGAAAATCTTATTTTATTTTTCCGATTTATCGTTATAAGTCAAATATAAAAAAATCCTATTTAAATTGTATACGTAACATTTAGTTTATTTATTTCAAGCAGATATATACTGTAGTTCTTTTTCGCTAAATTAACCATACATTATTATAAATTCTATTTATATTAGTACTCTTAACATTCTCTTTAAACACGACGTTAAAGAATAATTCAACGATTATTCTTTTAATACCCTGGCTCAACTCTCACATGACTTTTATCAGGAGGAAATTTGCAACCAGTTAGTATATTTTAAACTCAGTATATTACCCTTAAATAACAACCTAGATAGAGATGTTAAAAAGTCCGTCCCTAAAAAATCTGGTCCTGAACTAGTTAAGAACTAGTTCACAGCTCCTGTCTCAAACCGGTCCAACTCTAGTGGTTTAATATACAATACGGAACCGAATTACAGATTTATTGATAAGATTTATAGAACTAGTTTCTTCAAGACCCAGTATTTTTCTTGATTCACATATAGTTAAATTTTATTTTATGTGTCAAAACGACACTCATTTATATCATGTGCTTATTTCAACTAGTTTTGGAACGGTCCTAAAATGTCTAGTTCCCCGTGGACTACTTAACATCCCTAAACCTAGATAGCTATTATAGCATTTTTAAAATATACATTAAAGTTTTTAAATTATTAAACTTAAGAAAAATTATACCTTTACTGTTACTAAAATTTAAACTATCAAAATGAAAATTTTGTGAATTGTTATTGCAAGCGTTGCTTGTAAAATGGATAATGATAAAGAGTAAATGGTAATCGAGTGTATTTGTTGCCTTTGTTTTTATCATCATAATTTTTGTCGATTTCTGTATTTCATAATTAACTTCACTGTCGCCTTTATTTCTTCTTCACTTCATTACTATTAGATACTGTACAAATTATATTGCAAACATAAACGATAAATGTAAAATAGATATATACCTTTATAATATAATACCAAATAGTTTTCACAAAGAAGCCTGCGATGGACATTCAAACTTTGTTAAATATCATTTATATAATTTAGGGTGTTGCATTTTTTTTTATGATTGAAGTTTTTCTTTCGAATATTAGATAGATTGCCATAAGTTGAATAAAAATTGAATGCATTTATAAAAGAACATTTCAATTTTTTTTCGAAAAGAAAGTATTTGAATCATTAAATTTGACGTTATTTTTTTTATATAAAGATTTAAATCATTAAATTAAATTTAATATCTATTGTTTATATAAAGTTTAAATGACGTTTTTTATCATGTGAGAGGTCAGGGTATTAAGTAATAATATCTTGAATAGTTGTGTATTAGTGGATTATATTATGATTACTAAGTACTATTTTATTCGAATAACGTATAGTTGTTGGATATGAAGCAGCTAGTTACGGTGTGTGAAGCAGCCAATGACTAAGTTTCACATGACGAATAATGAAAATAAATTTGCTTATTCAAATAAAATTTGTTTATTCGAATTATTCGTCAGATAATTATTTATTCAATATTCGCCGAATACGAATATTATTCGAATAACGAATACGATACGAAGTTCTAATTATTATATTAAATAAGGTAAAGGTGGTGATTTGTTATAAATATCCACTGTAATGCATTTGCCTGAGAAAGGTTCTGATTTTATCTGTAATAGCCATCTCATTACACAAAAATTATAACAACTTTCTAGTCAAGATAAATTTAAAGTAGTGTTATTCGTTTTTGAATTTTAATTTTAAAATGTTTGCAACTTGTGATAAATATTGTGCGTCAAATTAAAATAATTATAATCCTGCTAATACTTTCCCTTACCCTAACTCTAATAAAACTCAGTATTTAAAATTTGATCTGACGCACAACATATATATATCAGTATTTCTTAAAAATTTATGTTAAAGTTCTATATGTAAGTAAAAATCTTGTTTAAAATGTTGCATAATTTATATAGAGATTAAGTTTACGTTACTATAATTAATCCGTTAAATTTTGAAGAATGCTAAAAATCCATTCAATTAAATTATTGCCTTCATTTTTCAACCGATTCACTTCGTTATTCAACCGAATAACTTCATAAGTTAACCTATTAATTTGAGTGTGAAGCATTTCTCTTTCTATGTTCCAGGATTGATTCTGGCTTTCATTTTCTATATGAAATCCTTCAAGTTTAACGTGTAAATTTTTTATATAGGAAGTTGCTTGATGAAATAAATAAATTTTAAATATGTTAATTAGACTACAATCACATGACTAGTAAGACTCCTCAAGGTGTTCCCAAGACGTTTAACCATGCTTTTCTAATAGAACATTTTTAGATATGCGCCGTGTGTTTAAGAAACCCTTTCGGTGGAATAAAGTAGTAAAGTCAACACTACCTCGTCACATATTATACATCACGTAGTATCAAACAATTATAGCATTATGTGATATATAACAAGTGACATTTAGTGTGGGCATTCAATACAGAAAATTAAACTCCCGGCAACTCATTCCAATATTATTATGCAGGTAAGGGATTCACTTTTAACGAATTTGACTCTAACGTGTATAATGATAATGCGGATATTAAAAATTAACACGTGGCATTTGGAGTTATGTAAATCAAAAATATATATCGTATATAAAAATCTATTATTAAAAATTTTTGATTTTATATACTATAATAATTCCGTTCTGATAGTTTAAGATAAAATTTTGTAACGACCAATATTATACCTCTACAAGCAAAACTATAGAGCCATTTCTTTTATTTAAACGTAAAAAATTTTAAACCATCATTTAAAAAAAAGAGTTTTTTTCACGCTTAAATAAAAGAAATGACTATATAGCTTTGTTTGTAGAAGCATAATATTAGTCATTACAAAATTTTATCTTAAACTATCAGGCCATTAGAGTTGGCATCTACTTAAACTCGAGAAGAATTTTTATAGTATATAAGTAAACTCAAAATCTTTAATAATAGATTTTATATATGATACCACATATTTTGATTTACATAGTATATCCACTCCCAACGTGACATTATGTACCGTTTTTTCCCTGGATTCTATTGCCAGAAGACGTGCACTTATATAAAAAAAAAGTAGAGACTGTATCCGTTACGGATATTCAGTGAATATTCGTGGGTTTCGGTTATTCACAAGTATTATTAGCGAATATCTCGAATATCCGGATTTTAAACAGATATCCGTGAGGATATTCGCGAATATTCATGAATGGTTCGGGTCTAGTGATTAGACCCATGTCACCCGAATTAAAAAGCAACCCACCTAGGTGGTAAAATAAATTCCTACTGGGTCATCCGGGTTGCGACATTTCTACCCAGGTCACTATTTTCTGACGAATAAGAGCTCTAGTCACGTGACCATGAAGAAATTGCTCTCAATATATTCACGAATTTAACCTAAAATATTCGTAAATTTGTGTTTTTTTTTTTATTAGGTTATTCATTATTAACCGTGAATATTCACGGATCCAGTCTCTAAGAAAAGTATGTACGACTAGTGATGTGCCACGTACTGTACTATACGTACTGTACTGTACGTACTGTACGCTAAAATTTTGACAGTCATTTTATA